TATTTAAGGTAACTATGGAAATAGACAAATTATAGTGATAACCTATGCATGATGGAATGGAACATTCGATCGATTCAAATGGTCAATTGAGATCTAAGATATATGTCAGTAGGAGATTCATAGACAGGCAGTGATGCAACATTATGTGAATGTTTATTCATAAGATTGGGATAAATAAGTTATGCGGATGAAATCAAAGCATTTCATGTGAATGAATACCTATTCACTTTCTATGACAGCACTTTGATAAAGGCGATGCTGATAGCGTTGAAGATAATTATGGTGATAAGGATAGCGGTAATCATAATCATACTAACGGTGGTTATTAAAATCCCTTCCTATTATATATCTCAGTTGATCGTTTGAACATTGTTGATGGAACACAGTGAATATAAGTGACCTCGACAGGTGCAAACTGGTTCATAGACAGGTAAACGCAATGATTTTGAATAACCGCGATAGAATGAACTCTTGAAAAATCACTTTGACATATTTCGGCCATTTTTGACTAATCAATTACATTTTTTGATGGCACAGTGAACAAGTTGAAATGGATGATTATTTCATCAAAAAGTTGAGTGCTCCATTACGTCTTGACCAGAAATGACCTAGAGCGAAGTAGGTCAGAGTTGAAATACTGAGAACAAATTCATTCTTAAAATAACCAAATACTGATGCGTTTAAACATCTGTTGAATCGGCCAACATTTTTAATGAAGAATTATCACTGAGCAATATATAGTTTCTTTGAAGAATAATTGAATATTACGCACGATTCCATAGATCCCCTAGCCTTCTTTGGTTTCAAAACTTCAACAACCAAACTATGCATGCAATAGTTTGGAGTCGGTTAGTACGATGCTGAGCCAATCTTTTCGCGATGAGAACCAGCATCAGAATGCTGAAGTGGATGATGGTACAGAGGAGCATGACTCTAAAATGGGGATAGATAACTGAGGCAAATGTACAGCTGGTTAGGTGTATAAAGATGCTATAAGCCATTGTAGCGTTACGCGCAAAATATGAGCATAAACAAATGAAAAGAAACTGATGAATCGCAGTATATGGATGGTTCCATAAATTTTACAAGGTTTTTCATGTGCCTGTCAATTGTTCAAAGAAGGTGGTTGCAGTGATTGATAAAATGAACACTGAACATGAACACCTCGGAAGGACATGTGATCAATATCAGAAGTGAATCATTGTGAATAAGTTGTTGAATCAGCACTGTTTTATGGGACACCTTCGACGGAATATGCAATTAGGTTTCAGTGACATTTGCATCACTCTGGATCCTTTTTATAGATGAGATACATACAATCGCACACAACAACCGCGGCAATAGATTACCGTATACAATACAGATGGAAATATTGCGAGAGTTTGAAAGTTTCTTGCAATGATTCTTACGTTTAAATCATCGAATCACATCGCAGAAAACTTTGCACTGTATTCATCATCAATTCAGTTTGACAATGAATACAATCGAATAAATTAAAATCTGGTTCTTTAAAGTGATTTCCCGTTTCTTAGAGACAAAGAAAACGGACCAGGTGATCGAGCATTCGCTGAATCATTCGTAATTTCTGAGATTATCCGATTTTGACGGTGATTCATCTGGAAGTCTCGATTTCTTCATTTGCGGTGGCATTTTTTGTTGGAATTATCGGAATTGAACTGGCAATGCACAGTGGGCATCATGATGAAACTTTTTATGAAGCACACAAAACATCATGTGGAGTCCCGATAATCCTGTACAGCATAATCCATTCCTTAAGTTACAGTCATTGCAGCCATGCACTTCCTACTGTGACTAAATGTAAGTTTAACACAGAAAACATTTGAGTTGTGAAAATATGCTACTACAATATTTTTGCGCTAGAATTCGCTAAACAAGAAACACTGTTGTTGTAAGATTACGATTCTATTTCACACATTCTGTGAAAAATGGTTAAGTGAACTTGTTTTTGCTTCAGTAGCGTTCTGATATGATGCGATAAGTGCGATCATAATGTGACCCAGAGTTTGTCGATTTGTAAAGCACGTCTGTTTGTCCACGAAACTGTAACTTTACTGATCAAAGCGATCAAAATCTCAGATGAAGTTAACCATAACAGCGGGCGGCATTATCAGTAACTGGTTTATCATCTTGAAGAGGGCAAGTGATTATTCAATCAATTCTTTCCAATTTCTTCACTACATCTTGTGATGCGTCAACGAAATTCAGTGTGCGGTGTCAACATGACAACAACAACAAGCCTTACACGTTTTTTCTTAGCACTTTTATTCGACTCTTTTGTAAAACATTTCCAAAGAGTTTTCAAACGACGATTGTAACGGTTCATAAAATTCATTTTATTTCATCAAATCAACTTACTATTTGAATGCTTACAAGTGAATATTCTATCAATATTCCTTAGGAACAAACATTACAGATGATCATACATCTTCTAAATATAGTACGGAATAATCACTGATCAATATTGCAAATTCTGGATGAACGATTTGTGATCGCATCAATAAGATAGCCAACAAAATCGAACGCTTCACTCAGTTGTTTCATATAAATGCCAGTTTTGTCATGCAGAATCTGAAACATTGTTGAAATTTTCTACAAACACCTAAATTTCGATCAATTGACACTTCAAACTGAAATTTATATCAAGTGTGTTGTTCTATCATGAATTCGTATGCATCGAATAAACATGATGGTAGCCATGAGAATGAGGAAAGTTTCTGAAAGAATTATAATTCATAGATGTTTAGCTTAGAGTAATTGTGAGATTGGTGAGTCACAATAGCATGCTCCTTCTGAAATGCTTGGAAAATTCCGAACAAATTTTCGACCTTTTTGCATCCAACGTGTAATAAAGGCTTGATTCCAACGCTTCGTCGCATTGGGTTACTTTTTAAGCACTTACTCGTTGCTGAGTCAACCACTTCATACCAGTCATTAGCATTCGTCTTCCTAAAAAAATGACTTCCTCAGAATACAGATACACAGATAAAATTCAACGTTTTACCATGATTCACTGAACGGGCAGAGTTCGTTGGCGAACAAAATTTGAAAAAAAAAACTCACATAAAACTTCTGATCTTTTCTACACACGACTCAATTTGACCACCTTTACCGATCGCTTTTTCACGATCCACTCTCGATTGAACAGCCTTAAAGAACGCTTTCTTAAAAATACACAAACAACTGCGTAAACAATAAATTTCGACAAGTGGAGAATGCACTCGAACAATGAAAAGCGGCAGTGTACCAAATGAAATGATTGCGTTAAGCGCTCGAAACGTCGTCGAACTTCAGCGCGAGCATCTTGAACACACAAGCAAATCGCATCTTTCAAAACATTCAATTCCTTCCGACATTTGTTCGGAATTGCTTGAACGCAGTCACGTAGCACTGAAATTCAACTCAACATAAATTGGAGTAGGCAGCTTATCTGCTGGAAGTTATCACTTCAATTTGCATAATTACGTGAATTCCTAACAAATCACTCAATGTATTGCCTAGTTACAACAAGAGATCAGCATCATCTCAACTGATTGTGAAGGAGACTTGTTTGAAACAGTTAGCCAAGGCAGGCGATGTTTTAAAGATAGACGAAGCCAGCCATACCGTTCTGCACAGTTTACAGTTTGGGTTCCTTTAAGTCTTAGACTTATCAGTCTGTCAAAGTCATCAGTTAGCCCCATCACTCGCATCTCATTATACAATAATTCAGTGGCAAAGTGATCGATATGAATGAAATGCGAACAGCTTTTATGTTTCTCTAAAAATCCCGGGAACGGTTTCTCAATGCATTTGGTGGTTGTGTTTGCGGCTTCTGGATCCTCGTTGGCACACTTCTGGATACGACTATGTACAATAATGAAGTTTGAGATGTCGTCAATCCTGAATGAAAACAAGTTGAGTTGTGTGAAGTGAACGTAATCAGTCTTTGGTTGAACTATTCTCAGTGAATTGTACTTCGAAGACAAATTTTAGATAGATGCAACAAGTTATTACTGTTCAATGATCAAAAAGGAAATGTGAATGTATTTTTCTTAGCATAAAAAATTCGTCGACAAATGAAATGAGCAATGAGAAGAAAGAAACGACGTGTGAATGACGAAAGAAACGAACAGATCTTCGATGTCCTTGTGCATCGGTTTTTCGATAATCGGTGACGCAGGCAGTCCAGGAAAGTCTGGATTCTTCTCCATAATGCAGTCATTGCCTTCACGAATAACCGCCTGCACTATCTCGCCCAGAAAGCATTTCGCCTCTTCTGGTGGTGTGTAGAGCGTTGCCGTAACGATTGCATCAGCAAACTGAACGAAATTCGCTTTTGAAACTGAATTCGGAATCGCAAAATTTTGACTAGTGAATTAGCTCATACCTTCACTTTGTAGAAGTGTATGCAAACAAAACAATACGGCAACTTGGAAAGTATACCACATTGAGGTTTTGAAACGGATTGAGATATGTATGTGCATATATATGTTCATGAAAGCGAATTTGAGAATTCGCGAGAGGATTTTGGAACGTTTTGAAGATAGACGAAGTGAGTCATACCGTTCTGCATAGTTTACAGTTCTTTAGAGGCCCGTTCCTACCCCATGCTTTACCGTCCAATTCAGACGCATCCATCACACAAAATCCATCTGAGGCGACCTTGTGTTTCGATGTCGAAATGAAACATTTTTTGATGGCTTCTCTTTAAAAAAAATTCAACATTTGTTTTCATTCCTTATATTGTAATTTAAATACAATTCCATTCATATTCACCTTTTGAAAAGTCACGAAAAGAACAAATCAATCCAGAACGCGCATCAAGTTATCATTCCGTTTAGAAAATTCCTTCGGTTTAGGAGAATTTTTATGATTGAACAATGAAAACCGGTTGATCAATGTGTTACGTTACATAAATAACTGCATTTATCAATCAAATATTTATCAATGATAATGCAGATTTAGTTTCAATTTGATAATTTGATTTTTTTAAAATGATCTTTGACTCCTTTGAGCCCCGTCTCTAGCAGTTTCAGCTGGCCAAATGTTTTCACCAAAAATCGCCCATAACGTTCCGTCTCTAACAAATAAACTTCCGTGATCGAATAAATCAACGGGTCGCGAGTTGTTTTTGAGTGAAAACTTATAAACATGACAGAAAACGTGACAAATTTAGTTGAGTCTTAAGTCAAAACAAAACAAACAAAAAACTGGATTTGCCGGAAGTTGAAAGATAGTGTGAATATATTTGAGCTGAAGAACTTTTGGCCAAGCTAGCTAAATAGTTTTCAAAATTCACGAATACTCGAACCTTGTGTGTTGCCTCATCTCAAGTGATAGTGACTGAGAGTACTCCGAAGTATTGTGATTGACGCAGTTCATGTAACAAATAAACGCTGTATGAAATTCTCGTGCCTCCATACAATCCTCTTGGGCAGAAACATTTTCGATCTGAAAAGCAGCACCCATTCAGAGCGGTATTTGGCAATGTTTGGATAA